AGGACTACACGCAGAAGAGTTTATTGAGGGGCTGGAGCGGAAAGTCGAGAACTACGACGCGAACGGCAAGGGCATCGACCAACTGTTCATGGGCGTGAATCAGATGATCATCGACTCGGCTCAGACATACTACGGACAGCAACAGCAGAAGCCAGAGGAGTATCATACACTACGAGACCAACGGGTGGAGCTACCCAGAAAGAGACGTGACCTCCGAGAACAGCTCAGACGAGGGGGGGGGGGGCAACTTACTCATCACGATCAACGACCCGAACAAGCCGGTCACCGCGAAGGTAGACTAAATACCTGTACCGCGAGAAGAACACGAAAGTACGACTAATGGCCCCTCCTGCGACAACCCCCACGAGTCTCAGAGCGAACCAGAAGCAGAGCCAGATCCACCCACCTAGCGCAAACTCGAGTACCAGAGGAAGACGGACGCCAGAGTGGAGGAGCTGTACGAGGCATGGGAAAGCCGAGACCTTGCCCGAGTAGGCCGACTCTCGAGACTGATTGCGGGGGGAAAGATGCGGACCAAGGAGGCGCGACTACTGGGCGATTGTCACAGCCAATTCCCACCAAGCCAGAATGGGTTGATTTTTAGCAATTACCAGGCGGCTCAGGGGACAAGGAAGGAACAGAGCAGAACCGAGACGAAGTCGAACAGATCCCAGTCGAGGCCGAGGAGACAGACGACTATGTCAACGACTTGGAGGAGCTAGTGGAACAAGACATGCAGGGCATCGCCAAGAGGTTGAAGAAGGCTAAATAAACTACAAAGGGCAGCACCACCGCCAGCGGCCCCCAGTGAGCTATGGCGGATACTACTATGCCACAAAGGCGAACCACCTCAACAGCAGCGCCAAGGACTGGGGGCACTCCGACCTCTCCCTCAACCCGAAGACTTCCAGGAATTATGTCGAGCGGCGCTGGCGGCCATCAGCATCAGGAGTGCCACTCCAGTACGGCGGCATCAGAGCGCGGCGATAGCAGTAAAGAAGAACAGCAAAGCGGGCCCAGCAGGACAGCGAATATATCACATCAGGGACCCGATTTGGCAAAGCTTTTTACTCGTCATGCATGGGTCGACAGAAAGCTCAAGCACACACGGACCAGGACTACGGCTTCATCAGAGAGCGACGACGCGAAGGGGCTATTCTTGCTATGGTGGTGGTCGAATACAGAGCACGCAGGGCAGGCTACAACTACATTGCGACGACGAAGGATATGTCCAACGACTTCGCGAGCCGTGCGTGGGCGACGATGGGAGAGGCCAACGTCAAGGTCATGCCAGCTGATTCGATCGACCTTGGAGCGCAGCGGCGCCGTCGAGCCACATTCGTCATCCCCTGCCGAGATCAAGAGGGCGGAGTTTGCATCAAGCCGCACTGCGGAGGACTTATCGGCGACCCGTATATGGTCAGCAACTTCGTCGCAAGCTTCTCGCCATGCATCAAGGAATGGGCCGCAGACTGCAACAAGGAGCTCGCGAATGACGACCTGTTGCACGGCAGCTGCGAGATATTTCAACATGCAGTTTACTTGGGACCGGCCAAGTACGCAGATGACCTCCGCAGTATTATACTAGGCGGGAAGCGCGCGGACGCTGCAGACCTGGCGGCGCAGGCGCACAATGTCGACGACGCACTCAACAGGAGGCTCACCGAGATTGGCATGCGCCAGAACGCGGACAAGCAGGATAACATCGTATACTTCCAGGGCCATGGCACTGAAAAGGCGCACAGCAACGTGAAGAACAGGTCCGACTGCAAGCTGATAGGCAAGGTTGTAATTCACGCGCGCTATCTGGGAACACAGGTCAGCACCGCGCAGAACTACGGAGCGGAACTCAACGCGCGGATCACGGCCATGAAGAAGAGCTACAACGAATGCGGGAGCTTCTGGACCAAAGCCCACATACCCTACAGGTGGAAGGGAGCGGTGCTCATCTGCAGGGTGAGCAACGCGGGCCTGTCGTGCATCGAGGGCTTCTTGCCGACGCGCAACGAGTGCCAGCAGCTGCAGGGCGCCATGGGTGCACTACTAGGTCGGGCCATGAGAGGCGGCGCCGCTCGCCACCGAGAAGATGGCAGCGCGCGGGGCCTGAGCACGCTGGAGGTCTTCCGCTACTGGCAAATATTGCCGCCAGCGGAGGAAGCACTGGTGCGCCGCCCCGGGCGGTTCAAAAAGATCCTCCGCTTCCCCAGTAAGCACAAACAATTGATAGTCGCACTGTTTGGAAGGGTAGAGTTCGAGGCAAACGAAGACGACGAGAACAAACTCAGGACCGACGCGAAACCCTGAGCTCAGAGGTTCATGGAGGGCGCCCGATACGCTTGCGGGGTCTCGGAGAGCTACTACAACACGCTAGACGAGGGCGAGCGCGTCGCGATCGATAGATTTTTTACGCTAGACGTCAGGGAACAGCTATATCTTGGATGGTCGGGAAGTTCGGGCGGCGAAACTCGCGGTGGCGCCCCCCCCAAAAAAAACTGGCTACACCGGGCAAGATGTTCAGCGTGAAGAACTAGCCCTGGAAGAGCAGAAACCCTGGAAGTGCGAACTCAAACGCGGAGATGAAGAATGTGGTCTGCTATTTGCAAGCAAGAAAGCGCTACGTAGCCACATCATTCGAGCTCATAGTGTACGCAATCTAGCAGCAGTACTTACGCCAAACAACGAGTGCACCAATTGCCAGTAGGCATCCACAAGCAAGGAAACGGCGTGGAAACATCTCGCAAGCAGTATGATCAAAGGAGGTTGCAATAAGTGCAGAACCAAGAACCAACACGCCCCTGCAGCTCACTCCCCTCGATGCCCGCTCTGCAGTCATTTCTCTCTCGACAAAGGTGCGCAATTTCGGCATCTACGTGCACGTGTGCCTCGGGAGCTGCTGCAACCGCCCCGCGGGGTCTGCCATGTCAGCGTTCGACCAGAGGCCTGCGGGCCAGGTGCCAGGGCCGCCTCCAGGAGGGGGCGCAGCGCGACGAGAAGATCGCAGCCGCCAGCGTCAGCCCATCCATCAACGAGGACCAGCGGGAGGAGGAGGCAACCGGCAGCAGATCACGGAGCTCACGGCACGGCTGACCCTCGCGGTGGCGCGCGAGCAGGCGGAGATGGCGGCGGCGCTGCTCCAGACATGGGAAATCGCAGTATCGACGGGTATCGCTACCACGGCCTTCGGAGCAGGCAAGAACTACAACGACGAAGCGCAGCTGCTCCACCAGAGGGCGCGAGGCGGAGAACATGTCGACGCAGGGGGCTTGGGCAGCCCGCGCGTGAGGGTGTGGGCGGAGACGTGCCCCTACCTGGGCAAGCGGCTGGACGAGGGCGCGCAGCTCTCAGAGATAACGCAGCACTACCAGAACGTGGTGCTGAAGAACGACGCGGAGACTCTCGCAGACATAGTGCTTCTTTTCAGGGCAAGGCGCAACAAGGGCAAGGCAGGCAACGGGGTCGAGAAGTGTCGCCTCCAGTTCAAGTTCGGCGAGAACTACCACCAGCTGTGCGCGGCGCTCGTGAACCAGCTCAATCAGGAAGGAGCCACACGCAAGATCGGGTCGGCTCCGAGGGGCGCGCTGGAGAGGGAGCTCGGCCGCCTGGTGAACGGGTGATCGAGGGCAGCACGGTCGAGATGACCTCCAGCAGCGCCGTCGAGGAGGAGGGGTGCCGAGTGGATGCGGCAGCGCAACATCCACGCCTGAGAGATGATGCGGCAGCGCCTGGAATCTTTCAGTTCGAAGGCCCAAGTTTTCCTAATTGTTTACTGCTTAACCGACCTCCCCCACATTCCGAACCTAAGCGTAAGGGACGAGGTAAGGGTAAGCGGAGCCAACCAAGCCAGCAGCAGCAGAGCGAACGTCCTCCGTGAGCGCGGGTGCTCCCCTGCCCGCAGACCCCTGCGTGGGGGATGTCGGTGCAGGTCGGGCCCGAACGTCCACTGACGTCAGCTTTACCAGTTTGAACTCAGAGAACACAGCTAGGCCGTGCTTAGATTACGCAGCTACTCAGAGCTAGCCAGAGCGTCAGTCACCCAGACATCGGCCCGACAGCTCGATCGATCGATCGATCCTTCTCCTCCTCACAATTGTTCAATATGAATACTACTCTCCCTCTTCCCTTGATGACGGCGTGAATGTGTCCGATCCCCCCCCGCGTATTGTTTTTTTTACACAGGTTTCCCCGGAGTTGGGTTTTCGCTTGCATTTGTTTCCAAGATGCTGCTCTTGTTGAGGCGCCGGCCTCATTTTCGGGCCCCGCTCGTTCCGAATCGTGCTCCCGCTGCAGCGCTGGCCTCATTTCCGTGCTTCCGCTCGTTCCGAATCGTGCTCCCGCTGCAGCGCTGGCCTCATTTCCGTGCTTCCGCTCGTTTCGACTCGTGCTCCCGCTGCAGCGCTGGCGTCATTTCCCGTGCCATGCCACGGCATGCAATGCAATGCTCGGTTGCTGCTACGCTTTGCGGTGCTCTCCTACGCCATGCCACGCCGTGCTCTACAATGCATCGCGTATCCTTTCGGGATCATTGCCCTGCTCGACATCCGACTGTGCGAGTAGGGAGGGGATCTGCGCCATGGTATGGGATGGGAGGGAGGGGTAGGATGTCAGATATGACGCGAGCGCACCTAGCTTGTCCCCCTCCCCCTCCCCCTCCCCCTCCCCCCTCTCCTCCTTCGGATTCTTGGAGGGTTTCCTCAGACCTCCAGCGGCCTTCCGCCGTGAAGTGATTGGGGGGGGGGGCCACTTCTCTCCCTTGATCACGCCCGTCACCGCGAATCATACAAGAACAGGATCTCTTCTTGTTGAATAGTGGGACGACAGGAAGAGGTCCAGCGCGCCCTCTGGGAGCGGTCTCGCGCATGAGCCATCCAGCAGCAAAATCAGCCAGCCCAGTTGACCCACTGGCATGCAGGGTTTTCACGCGCCCCTGGCCCTGCTGGGCAGCCGGATCTCCCGCACCGTCGTGCACGACTGCGCGCGGGATAGTTTTACATATCTCCGGCATGCGAGAATGCCTCGGTGCCGATGAGAATACCCTACCTTCAACCGGCTCGTGCCTGGGATCATGGCAGCAGAGCGCGGACTGTTTTGACACTTCCATGTTTCAGATTCTGAGCTTCCGGGGCGTGACGCTGAATGTCATGGAGGTTGCCTCGTGGAATGCAGTTGGTAAGATCGCGGGGAACTTGACTGAAATCTCGAACATGACCAGCACCTCCAACACGACGGGACTGGCAGCGACCGCGGTGTCCAACGTGACGTCCGAGCTGGCCCAGGTCGTCATGTCCGACACTGGCGCCAGCATCCACGGGCTGATGTGGGGCCTGGTGATCGCCGTCAGCCTTTTGGCCATGGGCTGCCTGTTCTGCTCGATCCGATTTTGCGAGCAGTGGGTCACGAACCCGCCGCCCCGCGCCAGCGCCTCGAGGAAGGGCGGCGGCTCGCGGCCCGCCTCCGCCACGAGCCTCTGCTCCGAGTGGCCGCGGCAGCAGCCGCCTCCGGCCAGCGCCCGCTCCCACAGCTCGACGTTCTCGGTGCCGGCGAGCGCACGGAGGGTGCAAGCAGGCGCGGTCGAACAACAGAAGACGACATCACCATACTCCGGATATCGTGGTTAGGGACGGGGGTGGTGGGTCACAAGCCTCCCAGACGAGATGTTTTACCCAGACCGGCCATGAGAAACGGCGGCCTTGTGCCCAGGTGACCCCCCAGAAACCTCCAAGACAGTTCAAGCCAGACCCCTCTAATCAGACCACCCCCTTTTATCCTGAGCTGCGAGGCACGGTGGGGGCATTCATTAAGGAATGTGCCCAGGAGGTTTCAGACCCTGGACGATTCTTTACCTTATGAGGGCGGCGATGATATCCATGACCAATCCACCACTGGAATTCCACGAGTTTCCAGACCCTGAATTCTTGACGCCTCGCGTATGCCCACCAGCCCATCCAGAAACGATGCCCAAGCGAGTTGCCTTGGTCAGGGAAGCGGAGGAGCACACAGAGGAACAAAGAGCTGGAGAAACCGTCGTGCACCAAGAGGGGGAAGAAGGAGGAGGAATCGGAGGAGGAGGAGGAGGAGGAGGAGGAGGAGGAGGAGGAAGAGGAAGAATAAGAAAAATAACAGAAGAGGAGGAGAAGGATAAAGTGGAGGAGGGCGAGAAAGGAGGAGGATGAGGAGGAGGAGGAGGACGAGGAGGAGGAGAGGAGGAAGAGGGGAAGGTGGAGAAGGTATGAGGAGGAAGAGGATAGGCAGAGGAGGAGGAGGAGGAGGAGGAGGAGGAGGAGGAAGAGGGGAAGGTGGAGAAGGTATGAGGGAGGAAGAGGAATAGGCAGAGGAGGAGGAGGAGGAGGAGGAGGAGGAGGAGGAGGAGGAGGAGGAGGAGGAGGGGGAGGAGGAGGAGGGGGAGGAGGAGGAGGAGGAGGAAGAGGAATAGGACATTCACGAATTTGGGAGCCTATCGGGGCGTCTTGGGAGCTTTTTGGCGGTCCCGGGCGCCTCTTAGAGCGTATTGGGTGCCCCAGGGAGCCTCTTGGTGCCTCTCGGGGGTCTCTTGGGAGTCTCCTGGGGGCGTTTTGGGACCTCCTTGGCGCCTCCTGGGGCCCTTTTGGGGCGCTCCTGGGAGCCTTTGGGGCGCTCCTGGAGCCATCTTGGAGGAGATCGATCAAACAAGGGGGGCTACTTATTTAGCCCTGCCCCTTTAGAGTGCCTAGATTCGTCGCTTGGACCCTCTTGGACCCCTCTTGGAGCGCTCCTGGGCGCTCTTGGGGCCGTCTTGGGGGCTCCCTTGGGCCTCTCTTGGAGCCCTCATGGGCCTCCTTGCGGCCTTCTTGAGGCCTCGGGAGGCCATCGAAAGCAGAGAGGCGAGACGGTTAAACTCATTTATTTTTCCCAGGTTTTTGAAGGATTCTCTCTCCTGGCCGTGACGTGAGGCCTCTCCGTCTGTTTTCCTTCCTCTGTTAATTAAAACTCTGCGCGGCCTGCTTAGCTTCGACCGGAAGAGGCTCGTTCTCGACCCGCGGATAAAAAATAGTTTTGAAGGATTCTGGCCCCTTGGCGGCCTCCGGGGGAGATTCCGTGGCCACTTGGAGCCGTCTTGGAGCGACCTTGGGGCCTCTAGGAGCATCTTGGGAGCCATCTTGGGAGCCATCTGAGGCTTCCTTGAGCCATCTTGGAGGTCATCTTAGGCTCTCCGAAGCCCTCTTGGAGCCACCTTGGGCCATCTTGGACGCTCCAACGCCTTGCGACCCCCCTCCTCCAGGTCCAGGGGAGGGGGTAGGGGAAGGGGTCAAGACTCCCTCTCCGCCCACAAGCCGTTTCGCTCACTCCCACCCGCCCTCCCAACACATACGTAGCACCCGAGTCTGGCCCGAGCCTCAGCATATTCAGCAGTCTTCTTGGGATGGGCAGCTACTGGGGGCCAATCCGCCGCCGCCTCTGCCGCCGCCGCCGCCGACGCTGTCGCTGTCGCTGCCGCAGCCGCCGCAGCCGCCGCCGCCGCCGAGTGTACTCTGTATTGTTTTTTGACAGGGATGGTGGATGGAGGCCGCATCGGGTTGGCTGCGCATGCTCCGGATTTGGAAGCAGAGTGTGTGTTTGTATTGTTTTTTTACAAGGGATGGTGTGTGGGGGGGCCCTCATGGTGCCTGGTTGGCTACCAGTCGCCTGGGGGAGGGGGTGTTTGTTAACAGGGAACAGTGATAAACCGCTCCCCGAAGGGGATGAAGGGGGTGGGAAGAGAGACCGTCTTGGACCACCTACAGTCGGGGCCCTGAAGAAGGAACCCTGTTCGTTGGGGAGGGGCTCCGTGTTCCTTTAGTGTTTCACAGCTTGCCTCAGGTTTTTTTTTGTATCAAGAAAATTTTTTGATAGGAAATCGAAGTTGAACTTGTGGAAAAAAGGGACCTCGTTCCTTATTCAGGGTTCCCTAGGTCAACGCCCCGACTCTACGCCCAGAGGGCTGGTGGGATTCCTGACCGTAGCCTGCGGGGGCTCCACGTGGATCTCCTGCACCGGCGCCGGAGGCCCCCCTCCCCTGGCGCGCGGAGGCGCGCCCGTGGCCCCGCCCAGGGGAGGGGGGGCCTGGCGCCGCTCCAAGAAGGCCGCGCGAAGCTCCGAAGGTTTTTTTCCTGATTGGTATTATTCTTCTTCTTATTTTTCTTCTTATTATTATTACTACTACAACTATTACTATTAATATTGTTATTATTCTACTTATTTTTACTAGCATTACGATTATGATTATTATTGTTATTATTTTTCTTTTCATTATTAGTCTTATTATTATTATTATTCTTATTATTATGATTATTATTATTGTTGTTATTATTGTTATTACTATTATTATTATTATTATTATTAGTAGTATTAATAATATTAGTATTATTAGTATTATTAGTATTATTATTATTATTATACTTATTATTATTGTTAATATTATTATTATGATTATTATTATTATTATTATTATTATTATTATTATTATTATGAAATGCAGTGTTTATGCTGAGGTTTATGCAGTTTTTTATCCTCTAGGCAAGGCGCTGTCTATGAGGGTCAAGAGCAGCCGCAGCAGCGTCGCTTGGCCCGCGGGCGCGGACAACGCCTACGGCAGGCCAGAGGTGACGCCGCACAGCTCCCTGGGCATGTACGCTGGCCCAGAGCCCGTCAGGCCGAAGGGGGGAGGCTCCCTCTTCACGGTGCAGGTGAGCAGCCCGAGCACAAATCGGGGTCGATGGCCAGACATCCGCGCGCGGGCTGTCCGCGTAAGGGCGCGCGTGGAAACTTTCGTTTCCACGCGGTGCTCCGCGCTTGCGGCCCGCGCACATCGCGTTCGGTCGCTGCGCCGTCGTGCCTAAGGCCTGCTCGCTGCTCAGGTGGATGCCATGGCGGAAGTGAACATGACTGGGAAGGGCAGCTTCGTCATGAAGGATCGGGTGTTGCCAGAAGTGCCCCTGGCCCATGGTGTCCCCTGGATTTCCAGGCACGCCCAGATGGCCTCCCCTCACGAGGCCCAGAAGGCCCAGAGCTTCAAAATGGTTCGAAAAGCTGGGGACACCTGGGCCAGGTTCCACTCCTGGCAACACCCGAAGAGGATACATTCAGCAGCTTGGCGCTGAGGGCAGCGTTGCCCCAGAACCCTGACGGTTCCCGAAAAGTCCAGGTGTTTCTCGACGAGAAAGCCACGGCCCCATGCGCGATCGTAGAATCGCCACCGCCAGGGTCACAGGCCACTCCGAACAGCTTGGACATACGCGGTGATTCCAACAAGCACTTGGGAAATTTGGCTCTGCAGAGCAATGGGTCATTCGTCGTGTGCGCCCACCCACAGCCGGAGCTCATTATCGAAGGCAACGAGGCGGACGTGGACCTGCACGTTTTCACGCGCGACCGATGTCCTAAGGCAACGGTCTCGTGCAAGCAGAGTCACCCTGGTGGACCAGAGCAGGTCGTCGGAAGCAGGCAACCGTACACCACCGCTAGCCCCAGCCGGCCCATGACTCGTGCATACGCCCTCCTGGTCTAGGACAGGCGGGAGCACACTGCAGTCCAGGTCTGGGGCTGGTGGTGTTGTACAGTTGCCCAGTTCCAAGGTTGAAATCCACGTTCTTCCTGGCACTGACTCGGTGCTCATCGTGGCCTGCATCCTTGCGATTATATTCCTCTGCGGCGAGAAGTGAGGAAGCGCACGGATGACCACACTGACACGCGAATCTACGAGGGTCACGGTCCATGTGGTGCCCATGTAGCGATTCGTTTTCGTAAAGCAAGATACGGTAGTCCTACTCTAGAGATACTATACGTGCGTCAGGCCACCTGTATCTCATTGTTGGCCGGCTAGCCCAGGCAGCATGCCGCTGCTATTGTGCAGTTTGCTTCCTTTACGTCGTTATTTTGGATTTCTGAGATGCCATGCTCTTGCCGAGAATGGTGGTGTGCACGCGCATGTGCTTCCGCGCGGGACTTTGCGCGTAACTGGTCCGTTTCGGCCAGAAAATATGCGTTCTGCCTCCGGCGGTGCAGAAGGAGCTGGATGATGATGATGATGATGTTGTTGCTGCTGTTGTTGCTGCTGCTGCTGCCGCTGATGATGATGACGACGATGATCATGATCTTGTTGATGCTAATGCTGCTGCTGCCGATCATGCTGAAGCTGGTGCTGGTGCTTCTGCTAATGCGGTTGATGATGAGGATGGTGATATTGATAATACTGATGCTGGTGATGCTGTTGCGGATGATGATGTTGATGATGTTGATGATGCTGACGGTGGTGGTGGTGATGATGCTGATGATGGTGCTGATGCTGACGCTGCTGATGATGACGATGCTCATGATGATAATGCTGATGATGATGACAATTCTGATGCTGATGCTGATGCTGCTGCTAATGATGATGCTGATGATGATGATGATGATGATGATGATGATGGTGATGCTGATGACGCTGATGATGATGGTGATGCTGATGAGACTGATGAATCTGATGATGATGGTGACGATGCTTATGATGATGCTGCTGATTATGCTGCTTCTGCTGAGGATGAGGGTGAGGATTATGCTGCTGATGGTGCTGCTGATGATTATGAGACTGATGATGCGACTGATGATGAGTATGAGGATGCGGATGATGATGTTGATGCTGATGATGGTAATGATGAGGTTGATGATTATGCTGCTGCTGCTGATGCTGATGATGATGATGCTAATGCTGATGCCGATGTTGCTGCTGCTGATGATGATGCTGTTGCTGATGATGGTGATGATGCTGATTATGATGCTGATGGTGCTGATGCTGCTGATGATGATGACGATGATGTTGGTGGTGGTGATGTTGATGATGATGGTGATGATGATGAGGAGGAGGAGGAGGATGAGGAGGAGAGCAGGAGCGGGGGCAGGAGCAGGAGCAGGAGCAGGAGGAGGAGGAGAAGGAGGAGGAGAAGGAAGAGGAGGAGGAGGAGGAGGAGGAGGAGGAGGAGAAGCAGGCGAACGAAAAGGCGGCGAAGGAGGGAGGTGACTACACAGGGCCAGAGAGTTATTTCCCGCGCCTCTTGAGCACCACGCCCCACGTCCAGGCAGGCTCCCTTCGCTACTCCTCGCCCTCTTCCTTCTTCGCCTGCTCTTCCTGATCTCCCTCCCCTTCCTCATCCTGCTCTTCCTGATCTTTCTGCTCCTCACCTCCCTCTCTCGCTCGCCCTCCTCCTTCCGCACTTCCTTCCCCTCTCCCTCCCCCTCCCCGTCTCCCTCTCCCTTCCTTTCTCTGCTTTCCCCTCCCCCTCCCCTTCTCTCTCTGATGTTCGTCCTCCTCCTTGCCCTCCCCCTGCTGCAGCAGCGGAACTTCCCCAGACTTGTAATGCTCCTCCAAGGCAAAGGGGCCCCCCTGGTAATTTTCTTGAGAAGTTCAAAAACAGTTCCGTTTAAGTTCAAAAAAGTTCTGGGAACGTTCCGGGTTGTTATTTTTACCTAACAGCTTTTGCTGATAGGTTTCTAGTGGTCTCAAAAGAGAGCAGCAGATGACTCCACAGGGGGGTCGGGGCGGGACCCGGGGCGGTGCCGCCGAACCCCAAATCGCTTGGGACATCCTCGCAAAATCGCTCTTGGCGCTGCTAGAACTCCATCCCCGGCGTACATTTTGGATGCCCGGAGCCAACTGTAGGCCACTTCGTGGTCTTCGAGTTCCCAGAACCTCATTCCCGGGCCGCATTTTGGATGCCCGGAGCCAACTGTAGGCCACTTCGAGCCCTTCGATTTCCCAGAACTCCATTCCCGGGCCACATTTTGGATGCCCGGAGCCAACTGTAAGCCACTTCGTGCTCTTCGAGTTCCCAGAACTCCATTCCTGGGCATGATTTTGAATGCCCGGAGCCAACTGTAGGCCACTTCGTGTTCTTCTAGTTCCCAGAACTCCATTCCTGGGCCACATTTTGAATGCTGAGGCAGGCTGATGCTGCGGCCGAGGCAGGCTGAGGCTGAGGCAGGCTGAGGCTGAGGCCGAGGCTGAAGGCAGACTGAGGCTGAGGCTGAAGCAGACTGAGGCTGAGGCTGAGGCAGGCTGAGGCTGAGGCTGAAGCAGGCTGATGCTGAGGCAGGCTGAGGCTGAGGCTGAGGCTGATGCAGGCTGAGGCTGAGGCAGGCTGAGGCTGAGGCCGAGGCTGAAGGCAGACTGAGGCTGAGGCTGAAGCAGGCTGAGGCTGAGGCTGAGGCAGGCTGAGGCTGAGGCAGGCTGAGGCTGAGGCTGAGGCAGGCTGAGGCTGAGGCTGTGACTGCGACTGCCGTTGCCTCTGCGACTGTCATCGCGAATGCGACTACGACTGCGAGAACAGCAGAATTCTACAACTGGATTCTCATCTGAATCTTAAGGGGAATGCTTTCAGATATGCTTCTACACATCGCTGTTAGGTTGCTTTGCCGGGATAATTACCTAACAGCTTTTGCTGATAGGTTTCTAGTGGGGTCAAAAGAGAGCAGCAAATGACTCCACAGGGGGGTCGGGGCGGCATCCGGGGAGCTGTGTCCGAACTCGTGTCCGAATTCGTTTTTCGCAAACAGTCACACACTTCGTGCTCTTCGACCTCCCAGAACTCCATTCCCGGGCCACATTTTGAATGCCCGGAGCCAACTGTAGGCCACTTCGTGCTCTTCGACTTCCCAGAACTCCATTCCCGGGCCACATTTTGGATGCCCGGAGCCAACTGTAGGCCACTTCGTGCTCTTCGACTTCCCAGAACTCCATTCCCGGGCCACATTTTGGATGCCCGGAGCCAACTGTAGGCCACTTCGTGCTCTTCGAGTTCCCAGAACTCCATTCCCGGGCCACATTTTGAATGCCCGGAGCCAACTGTAGGCCACTTCGTGCTCTTCGAGTTCCCAGAACTCCATTCCCGGGCCACATTTTGAATGCCCGGAGCCAACTGTAGGCCACTTCGTGCTCTTCGAGTTCCCAGAACTCCATTCCCGGGCCACATTTTGAATGCTGAGGCAGGCTGATGCTGAGGCAGGCTGAGGCTGAGGCAGGCTGAGGCTGAGGCCGAGGCTGAAGGCAGAGGCTGAGGCTGAGGCTGAAGGCAGGCTGAGGCTGAGGCTGAGGCAGGCTGAGGCTGAGGCTGAGGCTGATGCAGGCTGAGGCTGAGGCAGGCTGAGGCTGAGGCCGAGGCTGAAGGCAGACTGAGGCTGAGGCTGAAGCAGGCTGAGGCTGAGGCTGAGGCAGGCTGAGGCTGAGGCAGGCTGAGGCTGAGGCTGAGGAGGCTGAGGCTGAGGCTGTGACTGCGACTGCCGTTGCCACTGCGACTGTCATCGCGAATGCGACTACGACTGCGAGAACAGCAGAATTCTACAACTGGATTCTCATCTGAATCTTAAGGGGAATGCTTCCAGATATGCTCCTACACATCGCTGTTAGGTTGCTTTGCCGGGATTTTTTTTTTTTTTTTTTTTTTTTTTTTTTTTTTTTTTTTTTTTTTTTTTTTTTTTTTTTTTTTTTATTTATTTATTTATTTATTTATGTATTTATTTATTTATTTATTTATTTATTTATTTATTTATTTATTTATGTATGTTATGTATGTATTTATTTATTTATTAACATAATGGAATATTAGCGAAATCATATACATTCATATGAAACAGACGATTATAATTGTATGCATTATTGTAGTTGTTGCTTATTGTATCATTACCTAACAGCTTTTGCTGATAGGTTTCTAGTGGTCTCAAAAGAGAGCAGCATATGACTCCACAGGGGGGTCGGGGCGGGACCCGGGGCGGTGCCGCCGAAGCCCAAATCGCTTGGGACATCCTCGCAAAATCGCTCTTGGCGCTGCTAGAACTCCATTCCCGGGCCACATTTTGGATGCCCGGAGCCAACTGTAGGCCACTTCGTGCTCTTCGAGTTCCCAGAACTCCATTCCCGGGCCACATTTTGGATGCCCGGAGCCAACTGTAGGCCACTTCGTGCTCTTCGATTTCCCAGAACTCCACTCCCGGGCCACATTTTGGATGCCCGGAGCCAACTGTAGGCCACTTCGTGCTCTTCAAGTTCCCAGAACTCCATTCCTGGGCATGATTTTGAATGCCCGGAGCCAACTGTAGGCCACTTCGTGTTCTTCTAGTTCCCAGAACTCCATTCCTGGGCCACATTTTGAATGCTGAGGCAGGCTGATGCTGCGGCCGAGGCAGGCTGAGGCTGAGGCAGGCTGAGGCTGAGGCCGAGGCTGAAGGCAGACTGAGGCTGAGGCTGAAGCAGACTGAGGCTGAGGCTGAGGCAGGCTGAGGCTGAGGCTGAAGCAGGCTGATGCTGAGGCAGGCTGAGGCTGAGGCTGAGGCTGATGCAGGCTGAGGCTGAGGCAGGCTGAGGCTGAGGCCGAGGCTGAAGGCAGACTGAGGCTGAGGCTGAAGCAGGCTGAGGCTGAGGCTGAGGCAGGCTGAGGCTGAGGCAGGCTGAGGCTGAGGCTGAGGCAGGCTGAGGCTGAGGCTGTGACTGCGACTGCCGTTGCCGCTGCGACTGTCATCGCGAATGCGACTACGACT